CAGCACACAAAAAAATTACAGAGTTAAGACACTGGCATCAACAAAGTTTCATATATTAAAAGTTGGAAACCCAGACATCTCAACTTCCTTCAGTTCTTGTAACTCAAGTCAAAGGAATAAGCACAGCTTGTTTCCTTTGAACTCTCCCTCCAGTGTTATGTCTAAATGAGCCTTAAAGAGCTGTTTAAAAATAACTAGGAGGGCCAGATTCCAGGAGAAAACTACATAGAACTTACAGATCAATCTGTTTCCCTAAATTGTCTGTTTAGTTTGGGCTGTGCCATTTCCTGCTCAAATTGGTTTCCTGCAATTTGTTAAGGCTGCCAAATACCTAGTGATCTCAGTGATATACTTAACACAAATCGGCAAATCTTTCTTATTTTTCATAATGACAAGAAATTTACAGAGAAACTTGCATGGTGAAGATAATAATAAAAGTGAGTTCATTTGTCTTTTTTTCCAGATTCATCATTTTCATCTGGTTAGTGGCTTAGGAAAACAACCAAAAGCCTCCTAATATAATTTCTTATCTGGTTTTTTCATATTGATTTGGGGACAGTTTCTTCAGCAGTAGGTAGGGTCAAACATGAGAAATCTGACCTCACTATAAGCCACAAAAATTGTAAGCTCAGGATAGAAAGGAAAAAAAATCAACACCTAGCATTGATTTTTAAAATCAAAAGATGCAAGATGTATCTTGCATGGTATCCCCTAATGTAGACCTAAGAAAAAAATTACCTAGTGTAAAACCAAACCAACAAAGCTTAGATAATGCAGCGAAGAATTTGAGGCAGCGAGGACACAGTTAAGTTCTTTATAGCACATTCATTTATTAAACTGGCATTACAATCTGCTGTGTGTCACATAGTATATTATTTTGCCCGAACAGCTTTACATGCAAATACTTATTGCAACGAGTCATTGATCTGGTTCAAGGTTTGGCAAAAAAATACTTTTAGTAAAGCCTTCAGAACCCATTTTCTTTCAGTATAAAATATATTCTCAAAACTATATACGTGACAAAACTTAGTTCCTATATATAGAAATACTGGGGCTCTCAGTCCATCAAATACACTGCCCTGTATTCACACATATGAATAGCCTAGGGCAGGTATGCATAAGAGTCCTATGAGGAAGAAAGCATTTTAATAAATATTAAAAATTCAACTCACATTTAATATATAATTTACTTGACATTGAAAAAATGTGGAAAAGGCAAGTGACATTTTTATCAATACATTTTTGTAGGTTTGAAAAATTATTTCATGACACATCCAAATTATAAATCATAAGAAATCTTTTATTGAGTACTAACTAAAACCCCTAAATGAGACACAGTCAGAAGAGAACATAAATTTTGAGGCTTTCTACTTTTATAAACATATTTTTTAAATTCTAAGAAAACTAAACATTTGGTAATTTATACAATCACAGTCTAATTGCATTCTTAATCCAAAGGCAAGATCAGTTCAAAATGGCATGCCAAACCTTAGCTCTTTTCCTGAGTTAGGTTGGAATGGGTAAGGGATATCACATACCAAAAAAGCCTGTCCTACTATCCTTGTTAGGTCTTTTTCACATCATGGTGGTGACAGAAATAAAAACATTTGTGTGGCACATGGGGTCACCCAGGTGATCCCCAGCTACTCTAAGTCTAAGGACACCCAAAACACACAGGTTGGGAAGCTATGCTAAAGACCGAGGTAAAGAGAGCATACCTCAAGGGAATGTTCCCTGAGGATAATGCTGAGGCAGTTGGAATGTAGAAGGGGCAGGAAACAAGATTTGCAAACACACAAACATATAGAGCCATCTAGCTCCACAACTTCAGGCACGCCATCATTAAAACCATGTGATGAAGCCCATGATGGCAAGCACTCGTGTATTCTAGACAAGAACTGTGAAACAGAACTTTCTGCAGTGATAGACATGTTCTACATCTGCGATAAGCCACATGCAGTTATTGAGCATGTAATGTGGCTGGTGCAACTTACAAGTTGCAATTTTTATTTCGCTTTAATTAATTATTATCTAATTTTTAATAGCCACATGTGACTAGTGGCTACCATTTATTGCGTGCAGGTCTAGCCCAACCACCAAAACACAAGGTGGCATTCTAAGAGCTTCCAGTGCCCAGGCTGGTCGCAGCTGTGCATGGACCAAAGAGTTCATCAGTCATGTCAAACCTGGAATGGGAAGGCACAGATCCCTTAGCAAAGCCAGAGCTTATCACAATGTCAGGGGCTCACTCTGCAGGCCATACACACCATAGGCATTCAGAGAAAGCCTCCCAACCATGCCCACTCTCTCAAAATATTGGCTGAAGAAAACAACCTAAGAAAGAAAACATTTTCACTCCTTCCACTCACTACTGAATGAGAGTCAATATGGGGAAAAGTTAGAAGAACCAACAATCACTTATGACAGGAGGTTCTTTCCTAAGCTCAAGCAGAAAATCACTAAATGGCTACTTCCTCCCTCCAACTAGTTTCTGTCACATCCTTTCTATAAATGAAGCAAGGTGTCACTCAAATGATAATAAAACAGAGTGCCTAACTGTATCTGCTCTGGAGTCAGACAGACTTGAACGTAACTCTCACCTCCATTGTTCACCAGCTCTGTGACTTTCGGCAACATAATTAATCACTTCAAGTCTCGGTTTCCTTCTATGTAAAATGGATTAATAACCCTTCCTTCCTCATACGGCTATAAGGATTAAATGAAATTAAGACATATAAGGAATAAACACCTAAGTGTCATCTATCATTATTTCATCACTACCTCTTCATCATCATCATCATATCTCCTTAACACAGAAAGTAGGGAAAAAAACCTATCTACAACAAAGTATATTTTAGAACAAATTCCAATTTTAAAAATACCCATATAGCAAAAGTTATTCTTAAACCAAAATACTTCATATACTTAATTTCAGTATCTCCTAGGTTTCTTTTATACTGTGTTTTTACCTTCCTTGTAGTCTTGTTATATATTTAGTTGTATCCGCACAAAACCTCTAAACTCTTTACAGATCATTCTCCTATTTTTGTGTCCTCTCAAAATACCTAACTTAACTACTTACATAGTAGACATTCAATAAATGTCACGTGAATTAAATTTATAGAGTTATCAAGAATGATCAAAAGTTAAAATGGATAATGGGATTTGCCCTAAATTAATTCAACAAGCACTCAAGAACAGCATTTACTAAGAAGCAGGTAATATCCTAGGAGCTAAGAATTCAGCTGTGAACAGACAGACAGGGGACAAGGTCCCTGGAGCTTATCTTTTGGAAAAGATAACAGCAGGGGAAGGGTCATAGGAGATGAGGAGTAATGAGATGATGTTGGACAGGCAGCCAGGGACCAGTCATGGTATGCCTTGGAGGCCAAAGGAAGTAGTTCAGCTTACAATTTATTCCATGTGCATGGAGAGCCACCACTGGGACATGACATGAACTGATTTACTTTCGTCAAGATTGTGAGGACCTCTGTGTGCACAGCACAGAGGGACAAGAGTGGATGCAGGGGGCCAGTTAAGAGGCTTCTGCAGAGGTATGGTGAGAGATGGTGGTTACCTGGATTGGAGCAGTGGAGGAGAGGGACTGGAAAGGAATATATTCAGACATGTTTTAGAGACAGAGTTGACAACACTAGTTAATGGCCTGATGTAAGGAGTAAGGAAACAAGGATGAATCCCCACTTTGGGGCTTGACCACCTGTGCCATTTACTGGGAAAGGTGGAGAGAAGCAGTAAGTCCAGGGAGGAATAAAAAGGTTTGGGATGTGGTTAAGGAATCTTTTAGTAGGGATTTCAAGCAAACAGTTTATTAAAGTCTGGTGTTTCAGGGAAAGGTCAGGGCTAGAGATACAATTTCAGGAGCTACAGCCATCCATATAATGATTTCAAAGCCATACATTTGGAGATTACTTCATGGCAATCAACAAAGAACCCTGGACTGAGGCAGTAATGTGGGAGAAAAAACCAAGAGTGTGGCTCAGAAGCCAGAGAGGGTTTCCAGCAAGGAGCAAGTGCTCACTTTCTATCTAGTATTAACTAAGCTCTCCTACTGAACAGGGAGCTTCAAAAGGTCACTAACTATTTCTTCTTTATCTTGGTACCCTCTGTTCTGGATATACTAAAAGCTCAATTTGTTTACTGACAATGTAAGTCGGCGGGGAGGTCACAATTGTCCCAAGTGAATGGGATCTGGGCAGCATTTCATCTTTCTAAATTCCGCAGTCTATAGCCAGATTTACCTCTTTCTAATAAATACAGAAAAATCTCACTTAGTCCGAAATTAATCATCTCAATTATTTTCTTCTTGCCATTTCACAATAAATGGCACGTTTATCTATCAATTGGGCAGTATCAAGAACAGTATTGGACACACAGCAGGTGCTCAGTGAATATTTGCTGGACAGATGAGTGTGGTGGGAGAGAAAAAAGGGAAGGGAAATAGTTTGAGTCTCTTATGTCTTATCCAGCAGAACCGACAGATAAAATGAAGCATAATAATTCTTTATGGATTTCACTTACCACCATATTTTATCAGTAAGATTGACTACGATGAACTTAATCTTTTATAAACTTAGAAGAAATTGAGTAGAAAATAAAATCATTTGAAATATTTTACAATTTGGAAATAGTAAATCTATATTTTCTAAGTCAATGTTTTTTATAAATATTTATCCATAAATTTCTAATATCCCTATAAGCAATCCATTTTACACAAAACGACATGAAGTCAACTTCCAAAGCCTAGTAAAGGTTCAGTAGTTTTGATAAAAAACAAAATTTCCAAAGACTGTTGAAAGCAGATTCATTCTTAGTGCAAAATATCTTAAAAGAAAACCTGATACTGATTTCTAATATTCCCTATAAAAAGCCAAAGATCCAAATAACAAAAGACAGAAGTGCCTGAGAACTAAACTATTGAGTGAACTTTTTCCACTTATAATTTTTCTACTTAAAACACTAAAATTAAAATTCAGCAATACCTGAGGCACCATAAACACCAGAATACCGCGGAGACTTCGAACCAGATGGAGAGGACTCCTTCATTCGATCAATCACATTTTCCGAAAGCTGAAAAAGCAACATCAAATCAATTATAAAAGAAGAAAGAAAACCAGTGCAATCACAGCCAAGTAATTTAGTCATCCATATCAATATGTATAATGAATGGCCTAAAGAAATTAGGCTAAATCTAATAGCCATAAAACTAGAAGCAAGTAAGAATAGTTTTAAGATTTCAAGATGTACCCCACAGCACTGCTCCTTTATTTCTTCTAATGCACTGCTAATTGCTCATTATAAATACCCTTCATTTTATACTGTGCACCAAAATGTAATCTCTGAGAAAATGTAAGCCATCTGAACTCCTTCAATTTTCCTCCTCAAATCCTACAAATTTGTATTAACAGGCTTTAACTTCTTCCTTCCCTCCAATTTCAAAAGAAAGTGTTCCTTCCTCCCTCCCTCCTGTTCAATGCCAACTATAATATCGCACAATCATTCTTTCAATGGATTTTATTATGCACCAACTGTGTGCCAGGAGCTAGGCTAGACTTTGAGTATTCAAAGTCATCAAGTTTCTTAAAGTGGAGTAGAATAAGCAGACAACCATTAGGCATTTAAATAAGACGTGAAGGGTCCTGCTTGTGTGAGTCAGCATGTAGTGGGGGGTACAAGGAAAGCCTAATGGACAGCAGGTCTAGCCAGGCTTTGGGGGTGGGGCTGGAGCAGAGGGTCGGGGAAAACTTAGAAGGCAAGGATGAAGAGAAGTTAGGAAGAGAAGCAGTACGGTGACAGTGCTCCAGGGCAAGGAAAACACAGGGTTTGCCACCATTAGACATCCTAGTGGAGATATCAAGTAGGCAGTTGGCAATAGGGCAGAGGCTCTGAGGACACAGGCCTGCAGGGTTGAGAGTCACCAGCCTCACAGTTACTATCGCATCATCTTCATAGCACTTTCCACTATTTGAG